CTGCTATTAGCACTGGGAGAGCTCTTTTTATAGCAGTACTGGCAGTAATGGTTCATCGTCAATGGTTATAGAAGCCTTTGTAGTAGCCTAAGTATTAATTATATCATCACAGGTACATAGTGGGTGCGATTAGGATCAGGTGAGGATCCTGACCTGGAATGTCCATGTTCCCTACATATCTGAACTGTTTTTGTCTTTCTAGACTTCCCCTTACTGGTCCTTTAGTTAGAGAGAACAGTTCTGATACTGGATTGGAGGTAGGGATAGCATCATGTGACATACACGGGATGAACCCAGTAACAATAAACTGAGGTTACTGGGAGCCAGATTTACTACTCTTACAGAGAAGGGATGGTGAAAACTAGAATGAACCTGTGGTATTGGATTGGAATTCATGATATCTATATGTACTCATGGCTTTCAGAATGCATAGATAGATGTGGAAAGAAATCAAGAAGTCAGTGTGTATGCATCTATGTGTGTGCTTCTGTTCACTTAGACGACCTGGGGGCAGTGATGACCCCGTTTCAGTAAGCACACTCAGATAGAAATGCTGTTTTTCCACTGAAGTGGTGAGAATAATTGGACTTAGAAAATAACTTTTCATCAGCTATTATAGAATAGTTAATTTGTCCAAGAATTATTATTGGATATTAAAAGGATTGGGTGAAAGTTGGTTGAAAAATAAGGTATTTATATAGCATGAAACTATCATCTCACAAAATATTTATTAATTACTAAGGGAAAAAGAATAACTACACTTGGGAAATCTGGCAGATATAAGTGATACAAGTTCACATTCCCAGTCAGGGGAAAAAATACAAATAGTGTACCACTGGATAGGATGAGAGGAACTCTTCTGTGGTATTTCTACAAAAATACCTAACTTGAATCTAATCATAAAGTATCAGACAAACCCCAATTAAGGAGCATTTTACAAAACTGGCCTGGAATCTTCAAAATTATCAAGGTCATGAAAGTCAAGTAAAGTCTGAGGAGTTCTAGACTGAAATAGACTAATGAGATATGAAAACTTCAGTGCATGTGAGAGCCTGGATTGGATCCTTTTACCAAAATGGACTTTATTGGGCTGAGTGGAGAAAGTCAAATCTAGTTTATGGAATAGATGATGGGACTGTGGATTAGATTAGTGTTAATTTCTAGAATTGATGGTCATAATTATTGTACTTTTGTAGGCAAAGCCCTCATGTATGAAAATTACTCACTCAGCTCTGTTTTGGGGATAGGCCATCATATTTGTTATTTACTCTCAAGTGGTTCAGGAAGATATAATTTGTATTGTACTCTTCTTGCAACTTCTTTTTGGAAGGTTGATCTGACATTATTAAGCAAAACAAAAAAACACCTTCTGTTAGTTGACTTAGTAGTTCAAAACTGCTAGCCTGTTAAACAAGTCATTTGTGAGGATTTGCTCTTCTTTGTTGTCTTGTCTTGCAGTTGCCTCACCAGAGTGGCTTACTGTCATGTCCTGATTTGTCTTTTGGAATCCCTGATTTGAAATATTTACCATCATTTCATTAATATAGTCTTTTCCCTGCTCATTATTTATTTCCTTTCAACTGTGTTTGGACTTTGTGACAAACTCCTTTCAATGGAAAATACGGCTTACAGGAATAGGGCCCTTTACTGTGTGTGGGTAAAATTATAACATTTCCAGAATATCTCGCCTGGCTTTAGTGCATTTGCATTTTCTCAGGGGTGGAGAGAAGTTCATCTCCATATCAATGGGTTAATTACCTGGGCAACTGAGGGTGTGTCTGAACCTGAGAGTTTAAAGGGAGGGGCTGGCTTGCTTGCTTGTTTGCTTCTTCAGGAGCAGAGGAGAGAGACGGCCCTGGACTGCAGTTTATAAGCAATAAACGGGTTTTAAACTTTATTTCTCCTGTTGACTGATTTTGGTTTTTAGAGAAATGTTGCCCCGGGATTTCCTCTCTCTGGACTTAACACTGTGTTACAACTCAGTGATAATACTTATTAATTTTCACTTGCTTGGTTTATGCTGTTCTTCTCTTCCCCATTTGCTGCTGAGTTATTTAAGCTTTCTCTCTCTCTCTCTCTTTTTTTTTTTCCACCATGCTGTATCTGCCTTAGTATTGAGCATGTTTCAGTGAGCTTTTAGTAAAAAGTGTTAGGCTGGTTGATGGCTGTATTAGCATTTAGAGTCTTCAGAAAGTGTAAACAGGGTAAGGGGAATTTGGTAGACAGACTGGCCAGTTTGGTGTTTTCTTATCTATAACCTAATCAGCTTATATTTGTATTTGTGAATGGTTGGCTCCCAAAGGTTTAGGATTAAGCATATGAGGACAAAGCTGATTCTACTTTTAAAATTGGTTGGTTTGGTTTGGGGAGTAAGGTGGCTCTGGGGAGGTTAGTAGTCAGAGGAACCTTTCTCTCTGAGAATATTACATATCAGTTGTTTGTTTGGAAGAATCTGCCCTTTTCCCTTAGTACAAAAAATCATGGGTTAAAGACCTGGAGTTCGCCCCTATGTCTCTTTTTCTTTGGTGGAGCTAAAATCTCAGTAGGATATTATTTCCTTAGAAAGGTTGGAGGACAAACTTCTCTTTAGCAGTTACACTAATTTTCTTATTTCTTAGAATGATCAAGAAAGAAAAGCTTTTAAGAACCCGGAGTGGTAGTTACATTGCACTTAGTAAACACCCACACATACAGGCTTTTCTTTAGCATTTTGTTATTTTTTTTTCTTGCTGCTTTTACAGGGTAGGTGGCCTTCTCTGGATTGCTCTTGACAGGAAATTGAGCAACCTTCCTTTTTTGTAACAATATATTTTGCTGATGAGAGAAAGAAAAGTGTTAATGTTCTGAAATTTAATTACAGATTTTTATTTGAAGACTGATTGAAATCTAGAAAAGTGGAGGTTAAATTTCCTACTATGCACTAATATTTCTGAACCTTTCTAGTCATGTTTGAGCCCTACCTTAAAGGAGGGTCCCAAATTGATTTTGCTTCATAAAGCAAAAATTACATTGCTTTATTCTCTTATCTACAGATGGATATTAAGAAGTTGTCTTTGACTAGTCATTATTTTTCTGACTTCTGTCTGAAGCTGCCTGCCTCAGTAGTTTCTGTAGTAGGGGTTTTGATGGACTCTGTTGATTTAACAGGCATCTTGTACCTAGAATATATGTTAGCCTACCTTGGAAGAGCACATCATTCAATAAAGCTTCCTAATGGTTTGGCTAGTGCAAAGGTCCCAAAGCATGGGTAGGGAGCTCCAGCTTGGAGCCCTGCCATTGCTACAGATTCTACGTGCACCTACTGTGTCCCCCACCCGTGCCCCCCACCCATGCTTTGGGATATGAATGCCAGTCTACCCACACCCCCACCCCTGCCCAACCCATGTGCTCACTGCCTGTAGTGATTGTGCTTTAGTCTAATTAGGGTGGTTCCTTTGTAGCACTGGGGGTTCAAAGGAAGAAATCAGTCTATAATTAGAATATAAGCCCATATGCCACATCATGGGGATGTTGTCTGTTTGGAATGGAGTGTTTCTGGTAAAATCTTTCTAAGTATGTTCGTAAATCATATTCTTTCATTTGAGTTTAAAATTTGCATGTTTGTTCTTGAACCTAAGTGGATTAATAGTGCAACTCTGCCATCAGGTATGTTTTATTTTTTGTAATTAGTTACTTATAACTCATTGATTAAGATTAACAAAATAATGTATTTTGAATGTTACAGGTTTCTTTATCCATTCTGTGGGTGCAGTCTGTTGGCCAATCATGTAAAAACTGCAAGTTGTGTTTTCTGGAATATCTTGACTCTCAGGATATCCTTGATACAGCTTTCTTTTCCCTGCAGGTTTCTTCTGATGTTTATACCATTTGATTACAGTGGGGTAGGAAAGACCTGTTGCAGGGTCTGACCAAGTGCTGTTCTGCTGTGTTACATAGATCATAGGGTGTGAACATGGTAGGCCCTCAGGAAGTCCCCTCTTGAATTCAGTTAAAGAAGTTTTGAAGTACCTTATTTATTTGGTTGAATAAAAGATGGCAGGCTGGGACCAGGAACTTTTTTTCTCTTGTCCTTACCAGAAACTGTGAATATCTGTGAGTGAAAACTAGGTTCTATTTCTTACCCTTCTTAGCTTTCATTTAATGTTTGGGAGTTAAAAAAGTTTGAAATAGTGTTTCAGTGGCCATGAAAAAATTAGTTTTGGAAGCTCTTAAGTTAATGGATAGTCTGATTTATTTTAATGTTTTTAGAATAGGTCTGTGTACTGCAGATTATTAATATTGGACAGGTATGTATAACTCTCAATAAGCTTAGCAGTCACAGGAAATGTTCATAATATAGTGGAAGCTTATAACCTGTCTGAAACGATCAGTAGAATTGTAACTAATCAGAATGGTTGTTTGGAAAAGGCTTTCTCAGCCTCACCACTGTTGACATTGGGCTGGATAATCCTTTGTAGTAGGGGGCTGTGCACTGTAGGGTCAGCAACCTTCTACCCACTAAATGCCGGAAGCAGCCGCCCTCCCCACTGGGACAACCAAGTTCTCTCCATACACTGCAAGGTGTCTCCTGAGGTACAGAATTACACCCTGCTGAGAACCACTGGTTTGGAGCAGTGGCTTCATCAGTGGGTGATGGGCTGGCTACATTCAGAGTCACATTGTTGGGGGGCTTCTTACACATTCGGGTTCCTGGCTTCTCCTCAGACTTCCTGAACAGATTATGTGGGGTGAAGCCTTGGATCCGCATTCTTCCTAGAGACCAAAAAGCCAGTCTTAAAGATTTGTTGTTTAAGTGGGAGTGGCTATTGACTGACTTAAATTTAAATGTGTGTTCAACTACAGATAAAAGTACAAATTTAAAGGGGGTTTTAGAGGTAAAGTATAACATTTCCCAATGATGATTTGATTTGTAGCAGCGATTTTTCCCCCCCTTTATTGTTGTATGTTTTTCAGAGTTAAAAATACACCTTATACTAAAGTTCATAATTATTTTAATCTAGGTTTTAAGAGAACATCTCAAGTTGGACTCAAAAGCAAGATTTGCTACTAACTTTGAAGTGGAATAAGGTAAGTTGGTGGGTTAGTCACTAAGTCAGAAGCTCATTCTGAGAAGACTTGCTGCTTAAAGCATAATTTTGATTTATTGTATGTGGATCCTATATTTTTTCCTGCTTCATTGGTTTATGGCTGAGAGGCCGAAATGGAAGTGAAGAAGAGAGAGAACTACTGTGCAGTTTTTAGTCATTGCTGAATTCAGCGTTTTATCTTTCTAGACAAAGTAGTTGAGATATTTTTCTGACTTCTTAAATCTATAAGAAGGTTTTTGTTACATACTTAATGTTTCCATTCCATAGTAAATGTGTTTCAAAAGTCTTAGATGTGTTTCTTAAAATTCTGTGGGAGTTTATATCTCAACCCACGTTCTAAATAAGAATCTTGTTTAACTCTGATGCATTAGTGTATAATTTGGAATTCCAAGCTAATTCTGAAAACTTGAAAGATGGTTGAGGATCTACTGACTGATATTTACCTTTGTATATAAAAGGTACTTAGATACTTATGTACCTAATGTATGTATTACCTACGGACTGACATTGCTGTTGATTTTAGAGTGATTGACTGTGGTTACTAATAGGTAGAAACCCAGGTCTGTCTTAGGTCTGTTCTGATATTTCAATGCACATTTCTCAAACATTTTAATCAGTTGTAAAACGGTCTTGTCTTCCTGAGAAAAATAACAGCTTCATTCAGTTTGAGACATTTCCCAGGCTGTGAATGCTATAATATGTTAAGCTACTAAATTAAGATAAAATGAGTGTTTCGGGGTTGGTGGGTTTCTTTGGTTTTGTTACTTTGTATTTAACCTTCATCTCAGCTGGATGCTGAAACAAAGACCTTGGGATTTTCTTATCTGTTGCCTTGTCAGAAGCAGAGAAGCAAATTGCCTAAGGAGTCAGCTCCTTTGGAGTGGCTGCATCCTGTAAAGGACTGTCAAGGTCATCCAGCATCTCACCACTGTAAACCTCTGTGCAGGGCTTAGGGCATCTTTTCTGAAGCCCACTGGGTAATTGGAGCACTGCTTTCAAAGCGGCTCACTTCTGACCTTCCTTGAATTTCAGCAAGAGTAATTGGGAATGATTATCTCTGAAAATGTTTTTAAAGTACCTTAGGACACTTCCCTGGTAGCATTTATTTGATCATTCACAGCATCATTCTTCTTTAATAGAGGTAGAATTCAAGTTTTTAGATCTTTAAGTTTTAGCCATTTGAAGAGTCCAAGATTTTCTTATTACCAATCCAACTGAAAAACTGCCTTTGAGAGTGTAGCATCTTTGGCTCCATCAGGAATTGCTGAGTGGTGAAGAAAGTAGCTTGCAGGAGTGCCCCATGCAGTTGGCTGTAGCTCAGGTACTTTACAAAGGAAGAAAAAAATCTGCATATTCCTGAGCACCCTCCCTGATTTTCACCTCAGGCTTACTTGTTGGTTTTCAAGATTCAGGGTTTTTTTCCCAAAGTGCTTGTGCATTATAGACATGTCCATCTGCAGTGCAGTCCCTGTTTGTCTTAGGGTTTTTTAAACATTCTTAAATAAGGGTTAACTGCTAGTTGATAAACTTGAGTATGACTGTTTTTAGTAGAGGCCTTAAGTTCTTGGGTTACTCTGAGGCCAAGCTTGTTTAACTTTTATGTTGTAGCAGCCACACCTTACCTCTTGAATTGAGTTACTCTCTTTAATAACCTGAACCCCTAAGCACTTAAGTCCCTTCTTTTAGTGGCGGGAATAACTTTGATGCTAGTGTGGTGTGTTACGTGCAGGGGGTGGGGTGAGGGGTGGAGGGGTGGAGATTCTTCTCCTACACATTCATACTTGCTTGATTTACTCAGAGACACAGGGAGGCTAGGATTGAACAGTTTTCCAGATAGGCAGGTACAATGACTCTCAGCCTCCTAAACATGTACTTCTTCCCCAAGTGCACTGTCTCTACATAAGGGCTATCTAAAACAATTTCCTTCCTCCAGAAGAAAACAAAAATCCAAAAAGACCAAATCAAAATAAAACAAAGCAATCCACAAAACCTTGTATTTCGTATGGAGTCCTACGGTATTAATACATTTTTATACTTATTTTTTTTGAGTAGCACTGTTCTAGAATGTAAAATTGAATTGAGAAAACATACTTTTTTTATTCCCTAAATTTTGTTTATGGCTATATTCTTCCTAAAAACTCAGCAAGAAACAGTGATGTTAATTGATGATAATCTCTGACTGATTTTATGTGCTTTACACATTAAAACATTTGAATAATTTCTTCAAGTATTATATTTTTGCTTTGGATTTTCCCTTTCTTAGATAGACAATTATGTAATTGAAACTAAGTTAAATATTATTAAAATTGTTTTTTATAAGACCATGGATGTGTCCTCCTTTCATTTTATTTAATTAATTTTTTTATTAACACACAATTGATATACACTCTTATGAACGTTTCACATGAAAAACAATGTGGTTACTACATTCACCCATATCCGAATGCAGTCATTGCCCATCAGTGTAGTGAGATGCCACAAATCCACTATTTGACTTCTCTGTGGTACAATGTTTTCCCCATGACCCCCCGCACCATGTGTACTAAACATAATACCCCTTCTCCCTCCCTCCCCACCCACCCTTCCCCACCCCTCCCCTTTGGTAACCACTAGTCCCTTCTTGGAGTCTGTGAGTCTGCTGCTGTTTTGTTCCTTCAGTTTTGCTTCGTTGTTATACTCTGCAAATGAGGGAAATCATTTGGCACTTGTTTTTCTCCGTTTGGCTTATTCCATGGAGCATAATATCCTCCAGCTCCATCCATGTTGTTGCAAATGGTAGGATTTGTTTCCTTCTTATGGCAGAATAGTATTCCATTGTGTATATGTACCATCTCTTCTTCTTATGTCCATCTGCTGATGGACACTTAGGTTGCTTCCGTATCTTGGCTATTGTAAATAGTGCTATGATAAACATAGGGGTACATGTGTCTTTTTGAATCTGAGAGCTTGTATTCTTTGGGTAAATTCCAAGGAGTGGGATTCCCATGTCAAATGGTATTTCTATTTTTAGTTTTGTGACGAACCTCCATATTGCTTTCCACGATGGTTGAACTAGTTTACATTCTCACAGACACCATTAGAGTAGGAGGGTTCCCCTTTCTCTGTATCCTCGCCAGCATTTGTTGTTCTTAGTCTTTTTGATGCAGGCCATCCTTATTGGTATGAGGTGATATCTCATTATGGTTGTAATTTGCATTTCCCTGATAATTAGCCATGTGGAGCATCTTTTCATGTGTCTGTTGGCCATCTGAATTTCTTCTTTGGGGAATGGTCTCTTCATATCCTCTGCCGATTTGTTAATCGGGTTATTTGCTTTTTGGGTGTTGAGACATATGAGTTCTTTATATATTTTGGATGTAAACCCCTTGTTGGATATATCCTTTACAAATATATTCTCCCATACTGTAGGATGCTTTTTTGTTCTGTTGATGGTGTCCTTTGCCGTACAGAAGCTTTTCAGTTTGATTTAGTCCCGTGTGTTCATTTTTGCTTTTGTTTCCCTTGCTCGAGGAGATGCATTCAGGAAGAAGTTGCTCATGTTTATATTCGGGAGATTTTTGCCTATGTTTTTTTCTAAGAGTTTTATGGTTTCATGACTTACATTCAGGTCTTTGATCCATTTCAAATTTACTTTGGTGTACGGGGTTAAACCATAATCCAGTTTCATTCTCTTGCATGTAGCTGTCCAATTTTGCCAACACCAGCTGTTGAAGAGGCTGTCATTTACCCATTGTATGTCCATGGCTCCTTTATCATGTATTAATTGATCATATATGGTTGGGTTTATATCTGGGCTCTCTAGTGTGTACCACTGGTCTGTGGGTCTGTTCTTGTGCCAGTACCAAAGTGTCTTGATTACTGCGGCTTTGTAGTAGAGCTTGACGTTGGGAGCATAATCCCCCCAGCTTTATTCTTCCTTCTTAGGATTGATTTGGTTATTTGGGACTTGGGGTCTTGTGGTTTCATATGAATTTTAGAACTATTTGCTCTAGTTCATTGAAAAATGCTGTTGGTATTTTGATAGGGATTGCATTGAGTCTGTAGATTGCTTTAGACAGGATGGCCATTTTGACAATATTAATTCTTCCTATCCATGAGCACAGGATGTGTTTCCATTTATTGGTATCTTTTTAATTTCTCTTACAAGTGTCTTGTAGTTTTCAGAGTATAGGTCTTTCACTTCCTTGGTTAGGTTTATTCCTAGTATTTTGTTCTTTTTGATGCAACTGTGAATGTAATTGTTTTCCTGATTTCTCTTTCTGCTAGTTCATAGTTAGTGTATAAAGATGCAACAGATTTCTGTGTATTAATTTTGTATCCTGCACCTTTGCTGAATTCAGATATTAGTTCTAGTAGTTTTGGAGTGGATTCTTTAGGGATTTTTATGTACAATCTAAAAATTTTATGTACAATCTAAATTGCAGATTTTTATCTGCAAACAGGGACAGTTGAACTTCCTCCTCACCAGTCTGGATGCCTTTTATTTCTTTGTTTTGTTTGTTTGCTGTGATGAGGACCTCCAGAACTATGTTGAATAAAAGTGGAGAGACTGGGCATCCTTGTCTTCTTGTTCCTGATGTTAAAGGAAAGGCTTTCAGCTTCTCACTGTTAAGTATGATGTTGGCTATGGGCTTGTCATATATGGCCTTTATTATGTTGAGGTACTTGCCCTGTATTACTAATTTTGTTGAGAGTTTTTATCATGAAAGGGTGTTGAATTTTGTCAAATGCTTTTTCAGCGTCTGTGGAGATGATCATGTGGTTTTTGTCCTTTTTGTTGATGTAGTGGATGATGTTGATGGATTTTCTAATATTGTACATTTCTTGCATCCCTGAAATAAATCCTACTTGATCATGGTGGATGATCTTTTTGATATATTTTTGAATTCGGTTTGCTAATATTATGTTGAGATTTTTGCATCTATGTTTATCAGGGATATGGCCTGTAATTTTCTTCTCTTGTGTCTTTGCCTGGTTTTG